GAAAAACCTCTACAACTGCTCACACGTCCTGCTTAGGACTGATTCTGTTCGTCGCCCGTTGGAGCCACCGTACACTAGATCTTTTAAGGTACTCAGTAGACCAACTGACCGAACGTTTGTTATTGAAAAAGAGACCACAGTTTCAGCAGAAAGGCTCAAACCTGCTTTTATTACTAAAGAAGCAGTGGCAAAGGAAGTGACGAAAAACCTACACACGCACGTAAAGAAAAACCAGGTGAGGTTTTAATAATAGACAATGCTGGAAGGGGGGTACTGGGGCAACAGTACAACCAATATGGCAACCCCGTAGAAATATGCGGTTGTCACTTTTGAAGAAAACAACACACCTACCAATGCTAAACAAAAAGCACATTGAATTGTTAATTTTCTGTTAGTAAAGTAGTTTTGTATTTGTTGTATAATCTTGTATTCTAAATAAAATAGTCAATGAAAACGACTAAACATTTGTATATAAAATATTAAAAAAACAATTGTTTCAAATTTCACCGATCAACTCAATGATACCTTTTCTATTAAGCTTAGGTTTAAAACTAAATTAAATAAACCTACTTAAAAAATAAACTATTCAAAAATAAATTGACAATAACTATAACCATTAAACAATATCCATTATGGGATATTGGTTTGCATTAATTCAGTTACGGTAATTTGTTTTTGTCAAAAAATATTAACAAAACAAATATTTATTACGACATATTGTTTTTCAATTATTTAATTAATGTAACTTGTTTTGACAAAATTTTAACAACACATATTTCCTACGGGATATTATTTTGATATAATTAATTAGTTTTGTGTCATTATTAAAATAAACCTTCATTAACTTAGTCATCCCCAACAAAAGGGGTTCATTACAAGTGTTATGCATTAATCCCGAGTGTTATACAGATTTATCAATCGAAAATGAAAATTGCACTAAAAGTGAATCTAGATTAAAGTTACCACAAATTTTCCAATCAAAAACCTCATAATAAACCTATATTTTTACAACTTATTTTGTGCAAGCAATAATAAATTTTAATTAAACATAATAGTAACGTAAATGTCAAAAAAATAAACGATTTAAAGCTAATAAAAAATTGTATTACGAGTTGTGCTGTGTACCAAACATTTATTCTCTTTCTTATAAAATCTTGGTTAATTCAATAACCAAAAAATTAATATTACTGGTTTTTTGGTGTATTAATTGCAACTTCCTGGATGTCCAACTTCCATGATCATAATTGTTTATTCTATGCTTTGTAACTATTGTGTTTGAGTTATACACTTGCAGTTTCATAATGTTATAATATAAAGATAAATACTGTTAAGTTGAATCGTTTATTAAGACTAAAAATAAAGAAGGTATATGAAAACGAAATGCACAAGATGCATGAGAAAGAATAGTATTGCCAGTATCAACTTATTTGTTCTTATTATTTATAACATTTATAACACCTTTCCTGAACAAAGAATTCCTGTCTTGCTCATGCATGTTGTTTACAATATTATTAAACCATAAATTCATTCGAGACCAAAACCATTCATCAGAAAATTCAGCGTTTGTCTCGTAACAGCTTTTGTTAGTATGTCTGCAATCATTTGGTTTGTTGGCAAATATTTTATTTCAATCTCCTTTGATTCTATCTTCTGACGAACAAACTTTGCCTTTATGTCTACATGTTTGGTTCGATTTGAGTGTGAATTGTTTGTTGCTACTTGAATTGCGCCTTTATTATCGCAGTATATGACTATGTGGTTTGTATTGCCAAATACAAGTTCAGATACAGATTCAGTCGTTTAAGCCAAATAGATTCTTGTATAGCGGCGACAAGTGACATATACTCCGCTTCCGTTGAAGACAACGTAACTGTCTTTTGACGTTTAGTAGCCCAGGATATGGCACCAGATTGAAAGGTAAAAACGTAACCGGTTGTTGAGCGTCGATTATCTACATCACCGGCCCAGTCTGCGTCGCAGTAACCTAATACCATCCTTTTCCTTTTTGTATACGAGTCCAATTTTCGTGGTTCCCTTGAGATAACGCATAACACGCTTTACTGCTTCCCAATGAGCATTTCCTGGATTTAAATTATATCTACTTAGAAGATTGACTGCATAACTTATATCAGGTCTCGTAATTTGAGCAGCATATAGTAAACAGCCAACAGCTTGCATGTATGGAGTCTGATCCATTTGTTGTTTTTGTTCATTGTCTTTTGGTGACATATCAGAGCAAAGTTTTTGATTGCAGTCGACTGGAGTTGCTGATGCATTACAATCTAGCATGCCAAATCTTTTAAGAATATTTTCTATATAATCTGATTGATCGATTCTAATACAATCACCCTCACGCGTGATGTTCATACCTAAAATTGATGAAACCTCCCCCATATCCTTCATTTCAAATTTACTCGCTAGAGTTCCTTTTAGAATGTTAATTTCGTTGAGAGTGTTTGCAAAAATTAGAATATCATCTACATAAATTGAAACATACATTATACTTTTACTATTTACTTTATAGTAGATGCATTGGTCAACTTCGCTTCTCTTTAACCCTATTGCAACTAATTCTCGATTTAGAGTTTCGTTCCAAACGCGTCCTGATTGCTTGAGACCATATATTGAACGTAGAAGTTTACATACCTTGCCTGAGCTATCGTTAAAACCCTTCGGCTGTTTCATGTATATTTCTTCATCGAGAATTCCATTCAAATATGCTGTAACAGCATCCATTTGGTGTATAATCAAATCATTTTTGGCGGCGAGCGCTAATAGAAACCTTATTGATTCATATCTCACCACCGGAGCAAATGTTTCTGTGTACTCAATGCCTTCTATTTGTCCGAAACCTTTTGCAACTAGTCTGGCTTTTCTGCAAACCGGAGTACCTTGAGCATCTAATTTAGTTTTAAAAACCCATTTTGATGGGATTGCTTTTTTACCAGCCGGCAACTCAGTAAGTTTCCATGTCTTGTTCCGTAAAAGCGAGTCAATTTCACTCTGCATAGCTGCTTTCCATTTATCAGAGTTATTGGACGACATTGCTTCTTCAAATGAACAAGGATCGTTTGATATATAATCTAATGCACAAAAATTATATGGCGAATTTTTGCTTGCTATTCTCTTCGAACGTCATATGTCAGATTCTTCTTCCACTTCGTTGGATATTACTTGAATCTCAGAGCATTCCGGAGAGGTATTATCTATTACTTTGTAGTGTTCATCAGAACTTTTGGTTTCATTTTCAGTATTTTTAAGTGGCAATTCGCATTCCTCTATATTCTTCCCTGAATTGTCACTTTCAATTTGTATAATAGGAACAACTATACCTAGGGAATCACTTTTTCCTACATATTTTTCATTTTCAAAAAAAATCACGTCTCTACTGATAATAACTTTTTTGTTTTGTAGGTTTATTAATCGATATGCTTTACTATTTTCACAGTATCCGGCCATAATACACTTTATTGATTTTGGGTCAAGTTTAGTGCGCTTTTCTTTAGGTATATGCACCATAGCTAGGCATCCAAATACACGTAAGTGTTTGAGAGTTAGTTTTTTATTGCTCCAAATTTCTTCAGGACAATTTTGTTTTTCTCGACATGGTATTCTATTTATAATATATGTGGCAGTCATAGCTGCTTCTGCCCAATATTGCTCGTTTAAACCACTGTCCGTTAACATACAGCGTATACGTTCAACAATTGTACGGTTCATTCTTTCCGCGACTCCGTTTTGTTTTGGTGTATATGGTGCTGTTGTTTGATGAATTATTCCACATTTTTTTAAAAAATTCGAGAAATTTCTATTAATATATTCGCGTCCGTTATCCGTGCGTAGCGTTTTTATCTTTTTAGAACATTGATTTTCAACCATATTTTTAAAATCAATAAATTTATTGAAAACGTCGGATTTTTCTTTATTTGGAAATACAAATAACTTTCTTGAGTAATCATCAATGAATGTTAATAAATATTGTGCACCAGAAAATGATTTTGTTTGTAAGGGTCCAAGTACGTCGGAGTGCACTAGTTCTAATAATTCTGTTGCCCGCGTACCTTCATTTTTATTTAACTTTCTGGTTTGTTTTGATTCTACACACACCACACATTTCTCGGATGTGAATTTATCAAAATTTGAAAATCGCTAACATCTACGAAAGAAACAACGGCACCATTGTTATTGAGGCAGAAAGTGATTCCGAGCGTGAAAAAATAAAATGTGCTGTAGAAGGCGCTATGAGCGAGAATTATGAAGTAAAAGTTCCAAACTCTATTAAGCCACGATTTACTATCTCCAGAATCAGTTTTAAATATAACGAACAGGAAATTATCGAAAAATTGCGAAAACAAAATCAGTGCCTCTCTGATTGTGAACTAAAACTAGCAAAAATGTACGAAATAAAACGAGATAATAAAGTATTTTACAACGCAATATTTGAAACGAACTCGAATACTTTTACAAAAGCTATGGAAGCAGAAAAGCTAAACATTGGCTGGGAAAAGTGTAAAATTTACGATGGAACGGATTTAATGATATCTTACAAGTGCCAGGGCTTCAACCATAGAGCGCCTTACTGCAGGTATGACGAATGTTGCCGTAAATGCCATCAAAGACATCGCACTCGCGATTGCAATGAGGAGCCGGTTAACAAATGCATAAATTGTATACGTGCAAATGAGAAGCTAGGCTTGGGCCTTGACGAAAATCATGCAGTGCTTGACAAAAACTGTCCCGTGTATCTCAAAACACTTGAACAGAAGAAAAAGAAAATCGGATACTAGCAGAGAACAAACAAATCGTGCAGTCCTCTCCCTGGGCCAAAAGGGTTGAGCGTTGGGTTCACAACCCGCCTCGTCAAACATATTGTGACTCATCATCAACCAAACAAAAAACATAAAACAAGTCAAAAAAAACGGAAGCGTGATATAATTCTGGGAACATGGAACGTACGTACGCTGCTGAGAGCAGGAGCACTACAAGAAACAATTAAGCAAATGGAAAAGTACAACGTTGACGTGCTAGCGGTCCAAGAAGTACGGTGGCAAGGATGTGGTGAAATTGAATGCAACGGTACAAAATTCCGTTTTAGTGGTAACGCTGAAAGGTCTGGTAGGTCGGGGACTGGATTTCTGCTTAACAAACGAGTGGAAAAATCGTTTTTGGGCTTCAGACCAATAAATGACAGAATATGTGTAATCTCCCTTAAAGGAATGTTTAGCAAATTTACGCTGATAAATGCCTATGCTCCAACAGAAGACGCAGATGATATCGCTAAAGAGACCTTTTATACAGACTTAGACGAGACATTGAGCAAAATTCCATCACATGATACAAAAATATTACTTGGAGACTTCAATGCAAAAATTGGAAGAGAACAATACATTTCTAATGTAGCTGGCTTACACTCACTACACACCGTGTCATCAGACAATGGTAAACGGTTATGTCAGCTCGCAACTGGCTCCGGTATGTACATTAGCAGCACGCATTTTCCACACAAAAACATTAGACATATCACGAACTATACCAATATAAATGAGCATTGGAAAGTTTTTGCAAATTCAATCACAAAAGCAGCAGAAGAAACCGTTGGTGTGAAAAGAAATCGTAGACACAACAATTGGTTTGATAACGACTGTGCAGTCGCAGTGGAAGCTAGGTAGCCAGGGAGCAAATGTTAAATGACAACAGCACTACTAATCAAAACAACTACAAAAACAAACGAAAAATAGCAAATATAATATGCAAAAGAAAAAAAAAAGAAGCCGTCAATAGAGAAATCCTAAACATCAATAGAGATTTTGCAGATCGAAATGGTAAAGGTTTCTTCCACAACATCAAGCATCAAACAAAGGGTTTTCAAGCGCGAATCAACATGTGTAAAGACAAAGATGGGGAACTACTAGTAGAAAAAGAGGGCATTATCAAAAGATGGCAGGAACATTTTCAAGAACTTTTCAACATTGGTTCGGAAAGTAATAACCTATCCTTAACAGACTTAGCTACAAGTACAGGACAAGAACCTGAACCCAGCCTTGAGGAATTTACAGAAGCCATAAAGCAAATGAAAAACGGAAAATCACCCGGTGAAGATAGTATATCAGCAGAGCTCATTAAACATTGCGGAGAAAGCGCAAAAATAGAGCTGTTTACATTAATCAAGCGTGTCTGGGCTGAAGAAAGGCTGCCGGAAGCGTGGCTCACTGGCGTAGTAGTACCACTGCACAAAAAAGGTGACAAACTAGATTGTAATAACTACCGAGGCATAACGTTGTTAAGCTCATGTTACAAAATTTTTACATGCATTTTAAACAAGCGACTAAAGAATGCAGCGGAGGAAATCTTAGGTGAATACCAAGGGGGCTTCAGACCGAATCGTTCAACGACCGATCAAATATTCCTGCTTAAACAGAACTTGGAAATGAGTTATGAGTTCAATGCAGTAGTGCATATCCTTTTCATCGACTTCAAACAAGCATTTGACAGCATCGATAGAAAAATGATACAGGATGCTCTACAATCACTCGGGATCAATCAGAAGCTCATAAAACTAATAATGATTACATTGTGCAATACGACTGGAAAAATGATAGTGCAAGACAGTTTAACAGATGCCTTTGAAATTAAAAGTGGAGTGAAGCAAGGTGACTCGCTTTCAATTACCATTTTCAACCTAGTCGTTCACGATGCTATTAAGTCACTGGTGGCAACAGGGAACATATTCAACAAAACATCACTGACCATTGCCTACGCAGATGACATAGCCATCCTAAGCAGATCACTTCACTATATGAAAGAAAAGTTCATCGACTTACAACTCAGAGCTAAGATCGTTGGGCTAAACATTAATGAGAACAAAACAAAATATATGAGGGTTGGAAGAAACATGCACAGCCGAATTTTAGAGCATTCAGAATTTTAGAGAATTCAAGTTAGTGAGTTTACGTTTGAAGAAGTTGAAAGCGCCAAATACTTGGGTGTCCTTATTAATAAAAACAATGAAATCAGTGTTAGTATACAAGACAGAATTGTAGCAGCAAACAGAAGTTATTACGGACACGCGAAAATCTTCAAATCTAAAATCGTGACCAGAAGTGCCAAACTACACGCTTACAAGGCAATCGTCCGCCCGGTATTATGCTATGGGGCCGAAACGTGGACTCTAACGACAGCAGATGAAAACCAAATTAGAACATTCGAAAGAAAGGTGCTGAGAAAGATTTATGGTCCCATCCGCCTGAATCAAGAAGAATTTCGTCGGCGTACGAATGCTGAACTACTACAACTTTGTGATGGTGAAGATGTGGTGAAGTTCGCAAAGTCGCAACGCTTGAGATGGTTAGGACACGTCATGAGAATGCCGGACGATAGACCACAAAAGCGAATACTCCATTTCACGCCGTATAATGACCGCAGCAGAGGTAGACCGCGTATAAGATGGCTCGACAACGTGACTGAAGACATCAGGAAAATGGGTATACAAAGGTGGAGATCTAAAACATCATGCAAAGCAGAATGGAGAAAGCTGGTTGATGCAGCTAAAGCTCACCCCGAGCTGTAACGCTGATGATGATGATGATGCTTTACTATTTTCACAGTATCCGGCCATAATACACTTTATTGATTTTGGGTCAAGTTTAGTGCGCTTTTCTTTAGGTATATGCACCATAGCTAGGCATCCAAATACACGTAAGTGTTTGAGAGTTAGTTTTTTATTGCTCCAAATTTCTTCAGGACAATTTTGTTTTTCTCGACATGGTATTCTATTTATAATATATGTGGCAGTCATAGCTGCTTCTGCCCAATATTGCTCGTTTAAACCACTGTCCGTTAACATACAGCGTATACGTTCAACAATTGTACGGTTCATTCTTTCCGCGACTCCGTTTTGTTTTGGTGTATATGGTGCTGTTGTTTGATGAATTATTCCACATTTTTTTAAAAAATTCGAGAAATTTCTATTAATATATTCGCGTCCGTTATCCGTGCGTAGCGTTTTTATCTTTTTAGAACATTGATTTTCAACCATATTTTTAAAATCAATAAATTTATTGAAAACGTCGGATTTTTCTTTAATTGGAAATACAAATAACTTTCTTGAGTAATCATCAATGAATGTTAATAAATATTGTGCACCAGAAAATGATTTTGTTTGTAAGGGTCCAAGTACGTCGGAGTGCACTAGTTCTAATAATTCTGTTGCCCGCGTACCTTCATTTTTATTTAACTTTCTGGTTTGTTTTGATTCTACACACACCACACATTTCTCGGATGTGAATTTATCAAAATTAACACTATTACAAAGCATTTTGACATCAGCCAAACTTTGGTTGCAAATATGTCCCATTCTGCGATGCCAAACGTTAAAATCATTTTTGACCATCAGTGATTTAGCATTGTTCATGTTTTTGTTCGTATGTAATGGCACGCATTTTAATTTGTATAAACTATTGTTTAATACCGCAGTTGACATTAAATTGCGTTTGCTGTCAAAAATTTTACATGTCTTTTTCGAACACTATTCTTTTATCTGTTTTTATCATTTGTTGCACTGACAAAAAATTCGCACATAAATTTGGCACATATTCAACATTCTTAAGAGTTGCATTTAATTTGTGTTCACCTAAGAGAACTATTTTCATATCACCAACGCTCTTAACAGACATTTCACTTTTATTTGCAACAACTATTGATTGGTTATTTATCTTTCGAATATTAAATAAAAAACTTTCGTCGTTTGTCATGTGGTTAGTCGCGCCAGAATCGACATACCAATTCTTCAAAATGTTTTCTTGATTTTTTTCGCATTCTAATTTTACAGCTTTAATGCACGTTTGCATATTGTCTCTTTTTACTGCAAATAAAATTTTATCGTCTTCTTTGCTTCCGTTATTCGGCTTATTTTTTCTGTAATATGTGGTTTTATTTGGACAGTTTTTAGCATAATGCCCCTCTTTTTTGCAATTATGACATGTGTTTTTATATACAAATTTTTTCTTATGCACGTTACCACTATACAAAGCCGAATTTGTTTCATTATTATCAAACTTGGAGTCTTGCATTAATAAATTTTTGACTTTATCGACTGTTAATTTGTCTTTACAATTTTCGACAGTCATCACTAATGGTTTAAGCTCTTCAGGCAGACCTGCAAGTATTAAAGACGCTGTGAGCTCATCATCAATATTGAGTCCAGCGCTGTTTACTTTCAAAGCCGTCATTATTATTTCATTTAGGTATTCCTGCACTGATTTGCAGTTTTCTAATTTTGTATTTACAAGTTGTTTCAATAATTCTACCTTTCTTGTTAAACCTTTGTCCTCATATGCGTTCATAAGCGCAAACCAAGCATCTTTTGCTGTTTTTGCCGTTGCAATGTGGCTGTAATTATTTGGGTCCACCATAAGTGTAATTTCTGCTAATGCACGATCGTTTGTATCATCATCTTTTTCTGATGTTACACCACTTTCCACAACTTTCCAGTATCCTTTAATAATTAAACACGATTTCATTTGTCTTTTCCAGACATCGAAATTTTCCCGACCCCGTAGTCGTTCAATGTAAATACCCGAAGTATTCAACATTTTTGTTTTATCCGCATATCAATAGGCCCATAACCTGTTAAGTTGAATCGTTTATTAAGACTAAAAATAAAGAAGGTATATGAAAACGAAATGCACAAGATGCATGAGAAAGAATAGTATTGCCAGTATCAACTTATTTGTTCTTATTATTTATAACATTTATAACAAATACGAATTCTACGGTACAAAACGAATTAAATGTATATGACCCTCTGTTCTCATATGTATTTTAGACTTTTTGTGAGGGCGCTTTTGTAATACGAAAAAGCACTGTGGAATGATTATTTAAGTCCAATATCAATATCTTTTGTCAGGCAAAATATCACAAGCCAACTTTAAACTTTTTTTCAACTATTAAAAAGCGCTTATACAAAATGAAATGCAAGAAGACATTTATTGAATTTATGACAAGCATAGTTTGATTGATTATTTTTAATTCAAATTCAAAGTGAAGTCAAATTTTTTCCAGCAATCGACAAATCTCTTAACTTTCAGTATAATATTTCGTTCCCTTTCTAATTTCCGCCATTTACTTGGGTCAAGCTCCAATATACCTCCAAGTATTTCCTAAAAAAATAAACATAATTTTTTTTTTGTTTAACTGTATAACAAACCTGTGCAAAATTCGAAGGAAAGCGTTTTTCATCCTCAATGACATGAGCAAAGCCAAAATCCATACCGAAGTTAACCCAAAAATATGATAAACCTTTGGGTATGCTTCTCTGGAGCCCCTTCTTACGTAAGTATATTAATTGTTTATTCACACACCAGGTATCTTCAGATTCTTCAATCGCTTTTTTAAAGTAAAAAGGTGCAATTTCAGATTTTTTTTTATCAATTGGTATACAATGAATACCCAAATGTGAACCACGGTGTAATTTATTAGCAATTTCAAAGAATATGACATCCTTATTTTGTGTAGCAAACATTTCACTTAATGATTTCCTGAAGCAATTGATTTCTTCCCATACCTCTTCATCTAACTGCGTTGAATAACTTACATGCTGATAAGGAATAATTATACAATGTCCATTTTGAAGACCTATATACCATGGAAGGGCTAAATAAACTTTTTCACC